AAAAAAAAAAAAAAAGAAAAAAGAAAAGCTTGTCAACCTAAAATTCTGCATCAAGTAAAAATACCTTGCAAAAATGAAGATAAAATAGGTATTTGCAAATAAATGAAAGACAAAATAATATGTTATCAGGTGACACAATTACAAGAAGTGCTAGTGCTTACTTTGGCATCACATAATATTAAAATTAAAAGGATAAAGAGAAGAGAAGCATGGTCCTTGCACAAGAATGACATGCAAATTTCTGAAGTATTTTATATTTTAGTCCAGAAGAGAATGAGATGATATATTCAAAGTACAGAAAAAAAAAAAATAACCTGGTAACCAAGAATACTGAACCTGGCAAAGCTGTCTCTCAGAAATGAAGGAGAGTTAAGGACTTTCCTGGACAAACAAAAGCTGAAGGATTTTATTACCACTAGATCTACTTTATAATAAATGCTAAAGGGGGTTCTTCAAGCTGAAAACAGCAACATGAAAACATTTGAAAGCATAAAACTAACAGATAAAAGTAAATACATAGTCAAATTCAGGATAGCCTAATACTGTAATGGTGATGTATAAATCACACATATCCATAGTACAAAGGTTAAAAGACAAAATAATTAAAAATAATAATAGCATAACTTGTTAAGGGATACACAATATAAAATGGTATAAGTTGTGACTGAAATACAATGTGAGTGGGAAGAAGCAAGTATAGAGTTTTTTAAATGCAGTCTAAGTTAGTTATCAGCTTCAAATAGCCTGTCATAACTATAAGTGGTTTTATGTAAGCCTCAATGGTAGCCACAAAGCAAAAACCTACAATAAGCATAACAGTACAGAAAATCATGTAATCCCAAAGAAAGATAGCAAGACAGGAAGAAGAACCAAAGGCTCTACCAAACAACCAGAAAGCAATTAATGGCAATAGCTAAGTCCTTGCCTATCAATAATTACATTGAATATAACTGTATTAAATTCTCCAATCAAAAGATGTGTTATTGAATGATTAAAAGAAACCCCATGACTCAACTATAGGCTGCCTACAAGAGACTTTACTCACCTGTATGGACTTAATTCACCTTTATAGATTAAAAGTGAAGGGATGAAATAAGATATTCCATGAAAATGAAAACCAAAATAGGACAGAAGTAGCTACATATATATCAGATAAAATATCAGGTAAAATAGACTTAAAGTCATAAACTTTAAAAAGAGACAAAGATATAATGATAAAAGGGGTAATTTATCAAGAGGTTATAACAATTACTAATATATATGCACCCAATCAGAGCACCCAAATATATAAAGCAAATATTTATATATCTGAAGAGAGAGAAAAAATGCAATACGATATTAGCAGAGGACTTCAATACCCCATTTTCAACAGTGAATGATCATCCAGATAGAAAATTAATAAGGAAACACTGGACTTGAACTATATTTTAGATCAAATGGACCTCATGGACATGTATAGGACATTCCATTTAACAGCAGCAGAATATACATACTTCTCAAATACACATTGAATACTCCTCTAGGATAGATCATATGTTAGGCCACCAAACAAGTCGTAACGAACGTAAGAATATTGAAATTATATCAAGTAACTTTTTTGAACACAGTAGTATAAAACTAGAAATTAATAATGGGAAGAATTTCAGTAAATTGACAAATATATAAAAATTGAGCAACATATTTCTGAACAACCAATGGGTGAATGAAGAAGCTAAAGGAAAAATTTGGAATCTTGAAACAAATGAAAATGGAAATACAATATACCAAAACTTCTGGGATGAAGGAAAAGCAGCTCTAAGAGGGAAATTTATAGCAATAAGCACCTACATCAAAAAGGAAGAAAGATCTCAAATAAACAACCTAACATTACATGTCAGGGAACCAGAAAAAGAAGAACAAACTAAGCCTAAAATAAGAACAAACTAGGCTGGGCACAGTGGCTCACGACTTTAATCCCAGCACTTTGGGATGCAGAGATGGGCAGATCACCTGAGATCAGGAGTTCAAGACCAGCCTGGCTAACATGGCAAAACCCCATCTCTACTAAAAATACAAAAATTAGCTGGATGTGATGGCACATGCTTATAATCCAGCTACCTAGGAGGCTGAGGCATGAGAATCCCCTGAATCTGTGATGTGGAGGTTGCAATGAGCTGAGATCTTGCCACTGCACTCCAGCCTGGGTGACATTCTTGTCTAAAAAAAAAAAAAAAGGCATACAAATGACAACAGGTATATAAGAAAAATGCTGAACATCACTAATTATCAAGGAAATGCAAATTAAAACCACAATGAGCTATCACCTCACACCTGTTACAATGGCTATTATCAAAAAGATGAAAGATAGCAAATGTTGGAAAAGATGTTGAGAAAAGGAAACCCTTGTATACTATTGGTAGAAATGTAAGTCAGTACAGCCATTATGGAAAACAGTATGGAAATTCCTCAAAAAGTTAAAAATAGAGCTACTATATCATCCAGCAATCCTGCTATTGGGTATATAGCCAAAGCATATGAAATCAGTATGTCAAAAAAATATCTGCATTTCCATGTTTGTTGCGGCAGTATTTACCATAGCCAAGGCATGGAAAGACCAAAGTGCCCATCAATGATGAAATGATTTTTAAAATGTGGTATATATACATAATGGAATATTCTTAAATTTTAAAAGACTTCTTAAAAAGAAGAAAATCTTGTTATTTATGACAACATGGATGAGCCTAGAGGATATTATGTTAAGTGAAATAATTCTACTTCAACTTGGCAGCTTAACAAAAAAATAAAAATTTAAAAAAGTGAAATAAGCCATGCACAGAAAGACAAATACCACATAATCTCACTTATATGTGGAATCTAAAAAAGACAAACTCATCAAAGCAGAGATGAGAATGGTGGTTACCAGGGCTTGGGCAGAAGAGGAGGGAGGAAGTGGGGAAATGTTGGTCAGAGGATACAAAATTTCAGGCAGGAGAAATAAGTTCAAAAGATCTATTGTACATCATGGTGACTACATTTAATGGCAATTATTGTATAGCTAAAAATTGCTAAGGCAGTAGATTTTAAGTGTTCTCACCACAAAAAATTGGTTAAGTCTGAAAGTAAGACATGTTAATTAGCTTGGTTTAACCATTCAAGATTGTATATGTATTTCAAAACATCATGTTATACACCACAAATATTTATAATTTTAATTTGTCAATTAAAAAAATAAATAGTTCTAAAAGAAGAAATGCTAAAGGAAATTCTCCATGCTGAAGAGAAATGAGACCATATGGAAATTCAGTGCTACAGAAAGGAATAAAGGGCACTAGAAATGATAACTTTGTAGGAAAATACAAAAGAAATTTTTCTTTCTTTTCTTAATTATTTAAACATGAATTGATGGGACTTCTAGCCAGTATGGAGTAGCAGGGGCTGATTTTAATCTCTCATCTGAAACAATTTCTTTTTAAACTGAACGAAATATATGAAACAATGGCCGTGAAAATATTAGGCACTAGGCAATGAAGGACAGTAATCCCTAAATGATAGGAAACAAATATAGCCCTATTATTGACCTGGTTTACCTCCTGAAGGAAGTTTGCAGACCATAACAAGGAAGGCAGAACCGTGGCAGAGCCTGGCAATATCCTTGAGTTGAGGCAGCAGAATTGGAGGTCGAGAAAAACAAAGAATCTAGAATTCCCAACGTAGTGTATTTAAAAGAAGAGCTGCACACAGCAGAAATCTACAGAAACTTCCTTTGAGTATTCAATAGAATAACCATCAGCACATGCATATGAACAACTGGACTAAAAAAATCACTCAAAAGATTAGAGGAAACAGTGCTACAACTCACAAGAATAGGAATAGAGTCTATTCCCAATACCCAGAGTAGAATACTTCTTAAGTGATAGGACATCAGTTAGAGTACTGAGTAGGGTCTTGTCTCAGTAATGGGAAAAATTAACCCTAGACTAAATGCTGCTGGTCCCTGACAATTGAGCTTAAAGCAAGAACCAAAAGTATAAGCTGTTTCAAAGTAATTTGTATCTCCAAATAAAACTCAAGAATGCTTTTAGGAATAAAAAAATAATCAGCACCCAACAAGGTAAAATTCACAATATATGGCATCCAGTAAAAAAATTATCAGGCACTCAAAGAACTAGAAAAATAAAACCCATAATGAGGAGAAAAATCAATCAAAACTGACTTAGAAATGACACAAATGATAGAATTAATAGACAAGCATATTAAAACAGTCATTATAATTGTATTCTATATGTTCACCAAGCTAGAGAAAAGATTGAACATTAAGTAGAGACATGGAAGATATTAGAAAAACTAAAACTGAACTTCTGGAGAAGAAAACAACTGTGTCTGAGATTAAAAAAATATATAATGAATGGGAAATAGCAGATTAGACATTTCAGAGGAAAGGAGTAGTAAATTTGAAGACATAGCAATGGGAACTACCCAAAATAAAGTACACAGAGGAAAAGACTTAACTCACAGAGCAACAATGACAACTTCACGTGGCCAAATAAATGTGTGAGTGGGTTTCCCAAAATACAGAGAGGACAGAAAAGTAAAGAAATAGTGACCAAATGTTTCAAATTTGATAAAAATGATAAGTTCACAGATTCAAGAAGGTCAGTGAACACCAAAACTAGGAAATTAAAAAAAAATACAAACACATATCAGAATCAAATAGCTTTAAATCAGTGACAAAGATAAAATTTGAAAAGCAGAGAAGATACTCTACATATGGGACAATGAAGGAAAGCAGATTTTTTTGCCGGAAACAATGCAAACTAGAAGACAGTGGCTCAAAATCTTTAAAATTCTGCAAGAAAAAAACTGTCAACCTGGCACTCTTTACTAAGCAAAAATTCTTTTAAGGCAAAATAAATACTTCTTTAGACATACAGAAGCTGAAAGAGTTAATCACAAGCAGACTGGTGGAATAGAAAATGGAAAGGGAAGTCCTTCAAGTAGCTAGAAAAAAATATAATACCAGATGGAAACCTGGATATATCAGGGGTCAGCAAATTATGGCCCATGAGCCAAATCTGATCTGCTGCCTTTTTTTGTGAATAAATTTCTATTGGAAAACAGTCATACCTATTCATTTATTCATTGCCATGGCTGCTTTCATCCTACAATGACAAAATTAAGTAATTGTAACAGAAACCACATGGTCTAGAGTATTTATTACCTGGCCCCTTACAGAAAATGTTTTCTGACCCTTGATCTACCCAAAGTATTGAGCAGAACAGGAC